ATTGTAGCTCACAGCTCCTAGAGGTTTCAGTCCTTAGTTGGCTGGCTGCAAGGCAGGAGGCATTGAAGAGGAGAAACAGTTCCTGGCAGGCAGAGGTAAGCAGTGAAGTAGCAAGCAATAAGCAACCATAGCAGCTCTCTTCTGTCCTTATATTTTATCCAGGCTACACACCCTTAGGGTGGGCAGCACTTATATCCAGGGAGCATCTTCCATAATTCACCCCCAGAACTATGCCAAACCAATCAGTGGACTAATTTAGTTATCATGCACCCTTACTCCCTGCATCACACCCTCGAGATCCAGCTACATCTGAAAAGCCCAGCCTATGACCATATGAGGGTTTGGGGGGACACCTTGACACAAGCCATAACAGAATGTGAAAGACTTGGGTTCAAATCCTGCCTCCACCCATCATTAATCTTGATATTGAATGAGTCATTTCACTTCCCAGAGGCAGCATTTCCTTTTCTTATCATGGACAAAAAAACAGAAACCACTATTGTCATGTATTGAAAGGCTAATCAAGTTACATAATACATGGGTCTGGGTGCAAGTCCATTCCCTTGTTATCAAATGTTGAAAGAATTCGTCAAGTTTTATAGTATATAGGGGCACACAGAACTGAGCACCAAGCCTTGCTCCTCTGCCTGCCCTCCTGCCTCTGAGCAATGGGAGGGCCAGGACCCAAAGGGCCCCAGGTTCTCAGGCATCCACAGCCCCTGGGAAAAGCCTAGGGGAGGGAGGTGGGGTCAAGGTTGAGCCTGCTGCCCCCTCCCTGTCTCCCCCATCCCTGGGCAGAGTGTGGCGGTACAGAGCACCCAGGCCACGGTCAGCACAACTGAGGCCCCAGCTCTGCTGTGACTTGGGGCAATTCCTGTCCCCTCTCCAGTCTCATCATCTCTTCCTGTCCAAAGAGAAAGGTGGGCTCAGGGTCCTAGAGTCACCTGCCCACGCTGTTAGCTTGGAAGCAGACACCCTAGTACTGCGGAGGGGAGGTGGCCTGGGCCTGTCCACGTCACATGCTGCCTAGGAGAAGGCCTCAGGGTGTTTGTCCTGAGCATGGGCTAAAGCACCCATCTGTCAGGGAGAGGAAGCCTCCAGAAAAGAGTACCCAGGTATGACTTAGGGACTTCTGTTTATGCCAGGTCATTTCATTAGCATCCTTGGCCCCCAAGCAATTAAATATAAAATCTAAATAAAGGCGCTTCTTTTTTGGAGCCATCTTGTCACAAATCAACCCGAGTACATACAAATTCCAGATCCTCCTCCTACTTCAGATTATTTCCATAACAGCCCTTCAGCAAATTCTTCTCTTTTAATCCCATTTTACAGATGACCAACGTGAGTCTCAGAGGACAGTGACTCAGGAGGGACTCAGGCTCCCTTCCTCTGACACTTTCCTCACCCTTAGTCCCACCCCTGCCTGATGTCTCTCTCCAGGAAAGTGGACTGTTCAGCTCCTGGCTGAATACATTGCGGAAGAAGACTTCCATGTAAATGAAAAGACAACCATCAGGGTGCCCATGATCAATCGCCTGGGTATATTTCTCCTGACCCGGGATGAAGAGCTGTCCAGCTGGGTGCTGGTCCAGCAATCTCTGGGTGACGCCATGGCCTTCTTCATCCTACCCGACCCAGGGAAGATGCAGCGGCTGGAGGAAGGCCTGACCCAGGAACACTTTCATAATATTCTCGGAACCATTGACAAAATGTGAGTCCCCAGTGCAGGAACCAACCTAGGATCTCTGAGTCATGTCAAGACTGAACCCTTCAGGACTGGCTAGAGGCTGGGGAGGGTGGACGCCGTCCCTTGGGTCACAGCTCCTGGGAACAACCTTGTGCTTCCATCTAGACCCATTGTCCATCCCGTTAGCATTGGCCAGGCTCAGTGTAAGTGTCAGTAACCACAGGACAGCAGGCACAGATCCTGGCCTTGAGGATGTCCCTCCCATCATTCAGGGCCCAGAGACAGAGGCAAGAAGGGTCACACAAGTATGTCAGGATAAAAAGCAAGCTGGGGGCCTCCAGGCAGAGGTGGCAGCTGAGTGTGGCGTCCGCGCCGTCCCTGGGTGGAGAGCGCAGGAGCCTGCATGGAAAGGCCCGGAACAGGAAACAGTGAGCACTGGGAAGTCCAGGGCAGTTTGCAGAATTCCTGCTCCTCGGTCACTTCTTGAGGGTGGTTTATTGGATCCCAGGAGCCAGTGTCCTCAAGCCTGCACCAGAGGACTCATCAGAAATGAGCTTATGCCCAGAGGCGCTGTTTAATTATGCATCTTATGGAAGGAATATAAAAGTGCACACAGGTGTGAAGCTGAACTGTGAACAGAAGTGTCGCTAGTGTTTTCCCCAGGCCTGTGAGGGCTGAGAAAAGAGTAAGGTCAGGCTGGGACCTGCTACCTCAGCGCAGGCCTGCTCAGCTCGCCTATACCCCAAGGAAACCAGAGTGGAGTCTTTGGCCTGGTGGGGGCGCTCTTGTCTCCACATTAAATGTTTCCAATCAGCCCCTGCTGCACTCAGCCACACTCCCCTGGCGGTCAGGCCCTGGAGAGCCTCTGGCTGGGAAAGGTTGACTGCACACTGCAGAACAGGATGACTTCCACTTGCAGGAGGGCACCTTGCCTCTACGAGAAGACTCCTTCAAGGAGGTGGTTTCTCAGGGGCTGTCGGGACAAGTGGTCCCCATGAAGTTAACGTTCTCCACACCAAGTAGAGAGGAGGAAGAAACTCTGCCAAAGCAGGGCAGCTTCTCCTCCTGCTGTGGAGGGGACAGGACACTAAGGAGGCACAAGCAGAAAGAGCACGTGCTAGATCCCAGCAGAACATGACAAAAGCTGTGAATTTCCTTCCTGTTCTCTCACGCCTGCCAGGTCCGCCAGGATACATTTTCCCAGACTGTCCATGTCCGCAACCTATGATCTGAGGAGCATTCTGAGCACACT